CTGCTTCAGCTGCCCATACTGGTGCTACAGGGGAAACTGCTCAGTGACCAGCACTACTCATTGCACCTCTTCCCAGCCTCCTCTTTCCCACTGCCAGAAGACACCTGTTGTAAAACCTCAAGTCACTTCCACGCCTTCTCTCTTTTCATCCAGTCCTTCAGCCAGACTCGGTTATCATAATTGCAGCTATCTTCTGCCCATAGCCAATAGCAACAATTTCCTTGCTCTTCCTTTGACCCTGTCTACTTAGGAGAATTTAATAAGTGTCTAATCAAACTGCAATTAGGGCAGTTCAGAAGAGTGGCTTGAGGTTGATGACATGTGACCTTTTTGCCACAAAGAGCAATGTTATGGTTTGTGTCTGCATGTCCCCCCAAAAGGTTCATGCAGTCACGGGGCGGACTTCTAGAGTTTTTGATTGACTCATGATCCAATGCTGGGACTATGGGTGTGAGTGCTACACTTGCCCTGGAGTGAGTGGCTTGCATACAATATAAGGAAGGGAAAGAGGCTTGCTCTTTCCGGCGCTCTTCCATTTTTGCTTTTGTTGCTTTTGCTGTTTTCTTCCACCATGAACTGTTGCCCTCTTCCATGTGCCACTCTGCCTTGGAGCCAGCCAAGCATGGATTGAAACCTCCACAAACTGTGAGCTAAATAAATCTTTCTTTCCTTAATTTTGGGTGTCAGCTATTTTGTCTCAGCTATGAGAGAAAAGTGACTAAGACAAGCAGCTGGTATGTTTTTTAAATGACTTTTAAATTATAACATTCATGTGTACTTAAAGAAAGTAGGAAATACCTAGAAAAGCCTAGAAAGAAAATAGCACTTACCTTTAACTTAATTACCCAGAACTCACCACTGTTAAGATTTTGCTGAGATCCGTCCCTTTCTCCTATGCATATTTATGCCTAGTTGAGGGAATTCTATATATAAGTTCATATCTTGCCCTTACACTTAATGTTGTAACTTAAATATACTTAATGTTATTGAAACTTTATATAATGGCAGAAAAAAAAACTATCATTTGAATACTACACCATTTATTGAACTGTTCCCATACAAGTAGAAATGAAGGATATGGGATCACTCTGTTATAATTTATATGCTGACCAGTGTACATATTTATATGAATTTAGGTTCTGTCCATTATTTCTCATGATCAATTCCAAGAAAGAAAATAATGGATAAAACAGGATGAGAATTTTAGGTTCATTCCAATTGGCCCAATTTAAAAAAAAAATTCTCCTGGTTTATATCATCAGTGTGAAGGAATGTTTGCTGTACCTTCTCCTGCACTGTACTTGATGTTATGCTTGGTGCCACTGAGGATTTCTGGTGTGGGGGTAACAGCTCAGATTTGCATTTATAAAATTGCATACTAGAGGCTGAACCAAGTGGGCCAGACTGGAATTGATATTGTTGTCTTTGCTGTTCCTCTGTCGCTTCTACATTCTCCCTCTTCCATTTTCCCATACTTGATCTTCTTCCTTTCCTGGAGAGTGTAGATTCAGTGTTTGCTGTCACAAACACTGCACAAGGCTTTGTCACCAAGGAATTAAGAGCAATGCTGAAAGGCCCAACTCTGTAGCTGACAAGCTTGTGCCTGGCCCAGAGATCCCCTCCTCTAGATCTGCTCCAAAAAGTCTCTGAAAGCAATTCTCCTTAGGGGAAAAAATTTAGTATTTTCCAATGAAATTGCTTAGTAGGTTTGTCGCTAAGTTAACTTTGTCTCCATCCCGTGCCTGTCCAACCCACTGTCCAACCCACACGTGACTATCCCTGTGCCTGGAATGTCCCCCCTCCTTCCTCTTCTCAGCCCAGCAAACTACTTCAGCATTAATTCTTCAGCACCTTCCTTACATATCTATGACCCCTGCCTTCTGTACCTGGCCCAGTCAGAATCAGTCACTCAGCCTTCCTTGATTACAATGTTCCATTATGATATCTTCTGTGCCTAATTCTGCTTCCTTTGTGTCCAAAAGGCCTTCAGGAATAGGACATTTTGTGTTTCTGCCTCTTAACAATGTCTGGCAATTGGTTGGGTTCTCTTTTATTTTGTTACCAGGAATCGAACTCAAGACCTTGCACTTGTCAGGCAGGTGCTGTGCCCCTGAGCTATATCCCCAGACCAGTTGATTGTTACTCAGTGGCTGTTGAATGAATGAGTGAATGAATTCCCGTTTTACTAAGGTGCACAGACATTCCATGTTAGACGCACTGAAGAGTGTAAAGACGACATGGAGATGACAGGAATCAAAATCACACTCAGAATCATTGGTGCCAAAGGTAAAACAGACACCTGGTATACCAGATGTCCCAATCCTGGATTCGGTATTCTGAGTAACAATTGTTATATGTGCCTGGACACTGACTTGTACTCTGTTCTCTTTCAATTCAACACCATGGGCTGGGGATTTAGCTCAGTGGCTAAAAGTGCCTGCCTGGCAAGCGCAAGGTCGTGAGTTCTGTTCCCGGTACCGGAGAAAAAAACAAAACAAAACAAACAAAAAAAAAACCTCAGTTTCAATTCAACACCATATTTAATGTTCCCCTAAGTATCTCTGTGGTAGAGGAAGTAAAGGAGATTAAGCAATGCCAGGATTTCCAAAAGTGTATATTGCAAGGAAAACTAATACCATAAGCTGCTTATAGGTATGACCCAAAACAAGGTTTTTGTTGGCTGGTAAGTTTGGAAAACAAAGCTAAATGGGTTTCTCTAAGGACTTCTCCATAGGCGTTGTAAGAAGGTGAATGAAAGCTTCACCAGGCAGCGGTGGAGAAGGACAGCAGTCAGGTCTTGCCTCAGAGTGGGCAGGAGCCATCCTTGCCTCTTTATGCCTAGGAGAAGCCAGAGTGAAAAGGCAAAGGCAGAAGGGAAAACCGTGTTGCAAGCTCCTAGCCCCTTCCCCTCCATTGATCTCCTCATTTCCACATCTATGGGAGCCCCTGCCCCCCTCCCACCCACTCAGGCTGATGAGATCAGCCTTCATTACTTCTCTTGGAGAGCCAGGAAGCAAGGTAATGTGTGGGAAGTGATAGCTGCAAGGTAATGTGTGGGAAGTGATAACAACTTTAGAGTTAAAGCCATTCAACAGGAAAATTTGTTAAAAAGACCAAGACATTGTAAAGCTGAAACGCTTGAGTCTATTAAGTCCCCTGCTTCTCAGAACATTTTGTTTCTGGAGAATGTTTCAAGAAGGGAAAAACACTGAACCGTTTCAGCACTGTCAGATACCAAAAGCTGGTACAAAGAGCAACATTTCATAAGACAGCTGTCTCTGCCACTAGAGAAACTTTTAAAAACTTCTGCCTCTGTTTTCTCCTCTCTGCTACCTAGCTCAGCTCCCCCACCCTCCTCACCCCTAGAGGCACTGTGTTTCTTTCCCTCCTCCCCACACCCTCTTCCTCCTCCTTCTCTTTTCCTTCCTCCTCCTCCGACCCCCCCCCCACTTCTTTCATGTCCATAGCCCATGTTGTTTTCACAGACACTGTTAGAATGGCGCAGTAACCTAAGATTGTTCAATGGTTATTCAACCCTCGGGTAAGAAGGGAACTAATTAAGTGACTAGGGGTTTATACATTCGTTGTTTATTAGCTCCAGACTCCTTCAGAGAGCCTGGAGCATTCTCCTAAACAAATAGTACCCTTTTATGGCTTCTTGTTCCAAGTCCAAAAGAGATAGAGAGCTTAAGGAGACAGTAGCTTTTCAGGGATGTGAAGACAGGACTACTTAAGAAGCAAAATGGAGGGGCTGGGGTTTTAGCTCAGCAGCACAGCGCCTGCCTGGCAAGCGCAAGGTCGTGAGTTCGGTTCCCGGTACTAGAAAAAAAAACAAAAAACAAAGAAAAGAGTCAAAGAAGGGAAATGGAGTGTGGATGGACGCAGAGAAGAAAAGCTCCGGGCCTGTCACACACAGACTCATGCGGTTTGTGTATCTGCTGACAGCTGCTTGCATCAGTGATCACCCGGAGTTTAGGCTGTGCAACGTGGACACAACGTGGTCAGCCCAATGCTTTGTTTCGCTGTCTTCATTAGAAATGCATCCATCAAGAGAATGTTTTTTAAAGCATAGTCTTCTAAACAAAAGAATAAAAGCAAACCCAGATACCGCCTTACCAATCTGAACAAACACTGTTACACTGTATCAGGGGACACCTTAGGGGACAGAAGCCATGTGTCAAATAAACAAAAGCATCCACATAGACACACTTTTCTAGTTCGTGGATACTAATAGTGTATTATTATTAGCCGCAACCCGTGAGGGAAAGTACTCTTGCCTCAGGAGGCAAAAAGAATGGAAGCTTTTAAAAATTCTACCTCTAAAATTTTACTTCTGCTTTAAAGCCATAAAAGCTGCATTGTAACCTGGCCATTACTTTCATAAGAGAGATTGGGAGGCAAATTCCTAGCCTCAGAAATTGTTCAAAATGGACCATTTCCAGGTTGTGAATCAGAACAACTACCACCACAGGAGGCCACTGATCCTGGGTCTTTTTCCCAAAGATGTCCCAGGAGTTTGGCTTACCTGTGGCTTACCACAGGCCAAACATGAGGCTAACTATCCATCAGTCATCATCAGTAAGGCCAAGATGTTGTTCAGACACTGACAGAAGAGTGGGTGATGGCCTGCATCAACATTCCTTCCTACCCTCATCCCAGACCTGTGTCTTTAGCTGTTGGTGGAATAGGTGGAAATCATTTCAGAAATAGCTGATTCATTATTTATGTTACTCTTCATTTGAAGAGGCTTTGTGATATGTCAACCTGTTCATTGCGTCCACATTAACGTTCTGAATCAAAGCTTTTTTCCACTAGAACTGGGCTTGTGAAAAGGTATATTTATTGACCTTGGGGAAATGTCCTGTTTCCCAGTGTTTGATAGGAATGAAGGGATGCTGATAGACTTGGGTTGGCCATTTAGGGACCAGACACCCTCTGGCCAGAACCAGCCTAAGGAACAGAGAGATGTTTATGCACTGCCTTTCTGTCGCACTCTGCAGACCTCAGTGACCAGCTCCTTGAAGTGGTGGGGCTAGAGGGAGCCATGGAGATGGGGCAGATCTATACTGGCCTGAAGAGTGCGGGCAGGAGGCTGGCCCAGTGCTCCTCCGTCACCATCAGGTATGCCTCCTTGTTACCCAGCAGCCCCCGAGCCGCTCTACCGCCCTAAACATTCTTATAGACAGCAGCTGGGAAGCCACCGTTGGATTTTATGATAGGGACAATGGGGGAACAGAAGCTTCATAAGGTGTGTGAAGAATACCTTTGTAGATCATGTCCTAAGGAGATATAACACAACTATCCCAAACATCAACTAGAGGGCCCACCACAACCAATGTGCTGTTCCCTTAAAATAAGCTGGTAACATTCTCTAAATAAGAGTTTAAGATTATAAAGTCCAGAGAACCAGAGATCCAATTGTGTGCCTTTTTCATCTTTACAAATTAAAATGTTAGTATGCCAGGGGGCACATTCTGATAAAAAACAGGTTCCCTGCTCTACTCTGTTCTGTTGGATAATGGCCTTGGAAATGCTATTTCCTACTGACCTTTTTATATGAAACCATTAACAGCAGCAAAGCCAGAATTGGTGGCAGTTCTGGAGGCTGAGGCAACAGAATCACAAGTTACACCCCAGCCTGGATAACACAGCGAGAACTTGTCTCAAAATAAGACAGGATGGGGTTATAGCTCAGTGACAGAGTGCTGGGCTCGCATGCTCAAGGCCCTGGGTTCAATCTGCAGCACCTCACCCCCAAATCAGCAAACCTGTCATGCTTGACTAATAGGATGACAACTTTTCAACGTATCTCGTGGCCAGCCACTGCAGATCTGCAAGTCACAGGGCCTATTAGAGAGGATGCTCTGATTTTAGTTGCCTCTAGTTAATCAATGCAACTAGTCATATTTTCTCAGATTTTCCCCCTCCTGGTTATTTCAGAAGCCATTCTTTCTTCCTTTTTTCCATTTACCTGGTACAAATCGGATCTATTAATATGCCCCCGGGATCTCCACAGTAGGCAGGGTTTCCCACAGCCATCTGACCACGGAAGCTTTTTCTCGCAGAACCTCTTGGGCAGGTGTCACTGGAGCGCCTTTTGGGAAACTGCGCATGGCACTATCCCTCATCGCTCTGAAAGGTCCCTGCAGCTGGTTCTCTGATGTCCCTTAGCAGAAGATCTATTCCACCGTCCCCTTTTCTTCATTCCGTGCCTTTGATTTTTCAGTTTTTTCCATTCCCCCAAAGTCTTACTCCCCTTTCATTCTGGGCTGTTGTCCTGATGGGAACCCTAATTTCCAGATTAATCTCTCTGTCCTCATCTACTTTCCAAGTCACTAATACCGCCAGGGTCCAGCCCATCAGCACTTTGAGGCCATAACTTATGTAGACAACAGAGAACATAACATCCTCGTCCGCAAGAAATCTAAAAACTTGTGTATATGGGGAGAATGTTTCTTTGTATTCAGCAGAGCTGTTTCCAGGTAGAAAAAGAGGTGTGAGCCAGGCCCCCCATCCTCCTAGGCATTTGCCAGATCCTTTTCAGCCTTAAGTACCAAAATATCATCCTTACCTCTGAGTGTTTGTGTTTTTTATTAGATTTATTGTTTTTACTATTAACTATCCTCAGGGTCAGAGAATCATCACATCAAAACATAAGTCATCCTTCTCATTTTGTAATAACAAAAACAGGGCCTATGTCAAAACCAGGTGAGGAGTTCCTGGGCACCAGGGCAGTAACTGTCCCCTACCCCGCTGACCGAAGGCCTTCAGGGAGCTGCCTTTCCTCCCAAGGAATTCAGAGCTCTATAGCAGGAAGTGAGAAGAATCCAATATGACAGAGAAGCCCTGTCCCAAACAAGAAGCATCGCTCTCTCCTCTTCTCCTTTCCCGTCCTTGAGGACAATATTCCTAGATGCCTCTTTCCCCACTAAGCCAGCTCCACAATCCACACAACCCCGGAGCACACTGTTGTTCGGGACTGAGCCCAAGGTGAGACACACTCAGACCTGTGCTGTACCTGTTCGGCTCGGAGACGTTACCTCATAGCCATGATGCAACTGCTCACTCAGCATCCAGGTGGAGCCCTGGCCCATGCACAGCGGCGTTGCTGGCACAGGCCACTGGCCCTCTGGCTGACTGCTGGACCAAACGGGGTCTGCTCGGCGGTGGTGCTGCCTTGTTTGCTGGCCACTCTTTCCCAGACTTCTGTGGCTGTCCCTGCTCACCCACAATAAGGTTTTTCCAAGTGGGGTCTAAGAACTGAGGTAACAGAATCACATCCTTAGTGTTTATGAAAGTGCAGATCCCTCTGCTTGGCCCAGGACCTTGGCCATGACTGAACCTCGGGCTTGCCACTGAGCTACATCCCCAGCCCTTTGTACATTTTTTATTTTGATACAGGTTCCCACTAAGTCTCTGAGTTGCCCAGGATGAGCTGAAACTTGCAATCCCCCTGCCTTAGTGTCCCGGAGCGCTGGGATCACAGCCGCCATGCCTGGCAGGATTCTACTTTCAACAAGTCCTCCCGGAGAGTCTTAGAGAACCATTCCTAGGCAGACACATGAAGTCTTCCCACTTCCTCTTCCCTAGTGGGAATGTCGCTGATTCTGATACTTTGAGAAGCTCACTGTGTTCCTTTGGTTTTCGCGCTTCCAGGACTAACAAGCTCCTGCCGATGCAAGTGGATGGAGAGCCCTGGATGCAGCCGCCCTGTGCGGTGAGTTTAGCCCGTCTTGGGGTGATGGCGAGAAACTTACCTCTTGAGCCCTTTGGGACACTGACTTGATATGAAATCACTGAATCCAAGAGAGGCAAGGGCCTTGGAAGTCTAGTGCAGTCCCTCTCCACGTTATCTACCCATCCGCCTGTTCCTGCCAAACTCTCCTTAAATGCTTGCTAGGGGCCAGGCACTGCGAGGCAGCGGACACAGAACAGAATGAGGTAGATCCATCCTCAAGGCTCTCGTGTCTCTAATCGGTGAATTCTGGAACTTCATCCAAGGTACCACGGCAGCCTCGGTTTGAAACATTCTGGTGGCAGGAAACTTACCGTGACCGTGCTGTTGGGAAGCAAGTCTAGTTGTTATAAAGAGCTTCCTTGTGTGGAAGCCAAATCGGCACACTTCCCCTAGAACTCCCACTGAGTTGCTCTGACCCCTGGGGAGAATTCCTCCCTGTGGGAGTCCATGCTCCCCACAAGGCCACCCACCCATGGCCTTGGAGACCAGCCTGAACGCTCCACTGAAGGGATCAAGTTTATGGCACAATCACCCAGCCCCTAGCACAGTGCCTGACTTGTAATAGTTGCACAATAACGCATTGCAGGGTGAACAAAGGGCTGAACAGTGAAAGGAAGAGCACACCCCTCCCCCTACTCAGTGTACCCGCCCTAGCTCTCCGCTCGGCACAACTGCACCAGCCATGTGCGCTCCTTTCTTAGTTTGTTCTCTGCTGAAACTCCAGCTAGAAACTCTATGGTGAAGAGAAGCCATTGTCTTGAGTTGCAGGGTTTATATTGGTATATTAATATATTTTATATGATATATATATTTATCTTACACATTGTGAACAGTGTGATCACAATTATGCAAATCTCAAAAGAGACCAAAGTTATGTTTCTAACTTTCCTTCCCCTAAGGGAGTATTCAGACAACCCTATAACCAGCTCTTTGAGCCCTTAAGAACATCAAGTTGTCTTCTACTAGAGAAAGAGCCTTCAGAAGCCTGCTGAGATGAAATGGCATCCTCCATAAAGATCAAAAATGGAAATTTTGCTGTGTGCGGTGGTGCACACCTGTAATCCCAGCACTTGGAAGGCTGAGGCAAGAGGATCACTGTAAGTTCAAGGCCAACCTGGGCTACATAGTGAGTTCAAGTCCAGCCTGAATAACATAGCAAGGCCCTGTCTAAAGAGAGAAAGAGATAGGGAGAGAAAATGTTCTATCATAAATAGAAATTTCTGGGGCTGGGGATTTAACTCAGCGGCACAGCGCCTGCCTGGCAAGTACAAGGTCGTGAGTTCCGTTCCCGGTACCGGAAAAAAAAACAATAAATAAATAAATAGGAATTTCTTTGCACAATATTATTCAATCTTAGGAAGACTAAGAAAAAGATGAAGCATCTTACAGCAAAAACTAATAAGGAGCATTTGCTGGACTTAGGAAGGATGGAGAGAATTTCTGGTACTTATTGTTATAATAAAAAAAAGTTTAAGAGGAAAAAATGTAAGCTTTTGTTATAATAAAAAAAAAGTTTAAGAGGAAAAAATGTAAGCTTCTCCTGCCTCCTAAAGAAAATGCTGAAAGAAATCAAATCCTGCTCCACCTGGTCAAGCACTAGCTGAAAACTGGGTATTCACTCCTCTATATCCAAGCACTGGTTTTGGAAGTAGCCAGGTCCTTCCCTGGTTTGCCACCCCACCCTTCCTCCGTGCTGCCTTTCAAACTCACTGTGAAAACAGCTGTGACCCAGCGACGGTACAGTGTGCGGCCCAGAGATCCACACATAACGGTGTATTAACCTGCTCAGGCTGCCATAACCGAACGCCACGGACTACTGGCTCAATGGGGAAAGCCGAAGATCAAGGCACAAACAAAGTTGGTTTCTGATGAGGCCACTGGCCTGCCCTCTATCTATGTACTTGGCAGTCCTCTCTTTCTCTTCTCGTGAGAACACAAGTTCTAATGGGTTGGGCTCCATCCCTGAGGCCTCATTTAACTTTCTTTACCTCCCTAACCCCTGCATACAGATGTAGTTACAGCCGGGCGCGGTGGCGCACACCTGTAATCCCAGCACTCGGGAGGCTGAGGCAGGAGGATCCTTGCGAGTTCGAGGCCAGCCTGGGCCACAAAGTGAGCTCAAGGCCAGCCTGAACTGTAGAGCGAGACCCTGTCTCAAAAAAGACAAAAACAAAAACAAAAACAAAACAGATGTAGTTACAACTGGGGTTAGTGTTTCACAATATGAATTGGAGGAGGACACAGTTTAACCCATAGTAGAAAATTACACAGTTGGGGGCTGGGGATTTAGCTCAGTGGCACAGCGCCTGCCTGGCAAGCGTGAGGTCCTGAGTTCCATTCCCGGTACCAGAAAAACAAACAAACAAACAAAAAGACGAAAATTACACAGTTGTTCTTGAATTTGCAAGGGTTAAAACAAAGGTACCCCTTACTGGAACATTTTCTGGAAGGTACACACCAAGTATGAAGGGATTCAAAATTAAAAGCATTGACTGGGATATGACAGCATGAAACAACTTTGGTAGAAATTGAAAGTAGTGCAAATTAGAATCCAGAAACCTGTTAAATATGGTCATACAACTGAATGCAAATAGCAAAACTCACTCTTTGAAAGAGAAAATGTATAATGTAAACATTAATAACATGGATCCCAAACATAAGGTGGCATTAACAAAGGCCAAAAGCCTATGGGAGACATCACTGAAGGAATAGCAAAAATATGCTAAAATTTTTTTTTTCACTTTGGTAATTAAAAATGTAATTCAGAAGACAATGTTAGTAGCTAGATACTCTCACTTGTGAAACTAATAACAGGGCATATACCTTTTAAACCTGGGAGAACTTAAGATATATAGACCCTATTGACATAGTAAAAGACAGAAAGCAAGGAACAAACCAACATTTAAAATTTTTTTGAAAATGAAAGAGGTTAACACTAAATATGTCAATACTGACAAGAAGAAAAGAGTTAAAGTCCTCCATTAAAAGACTAATAATAAAGCCAGGCATGGTGGCACACATGTAATCCCAGCACTCAGGAGGCTGACGCAGGAGGATTGCTGTGAGTTTGAGGCTAGCCTAGGCTACATAATGATCTCAAGGCCAGCCTGAACTACATAGCGAGACTTTGTCCCCCCCCCTCCAAAAAAAAGACCAATATTAGTTTAAAAACTAAAATCCAAATATATGTTCCTTACAAAAGATACACCTAAACTTAGATGAAATAACTATAACCTATAAACAATTGAAATATCCTATTTTCCAAAGATTTACAGAGTATTTACTAAAATGGAACATAAATTAATTTACCAAAGAAACAAAATCTCTATATA